TCACTGGCCCATGTTGGTATTGTGATCATTGAGCTCTTCCTGGGTGAGGCAGTCGCTCGCCAGCCATTGGACAGCAGCTGACGCTGGCTGCTGGCCACTCACATTGGCTGCCAGCCACTCATGGTAGCTCACAGCAGCCCACTGCAGCCTCACTGCAGCCTACACCGTCACAGGAGACTCATGGCAGCCCAGCTCCAGGTCAAGCTGTTGTTCACCATCTTAGCTGTAGGGGGCAGTGTCACTGGCCCTCATGTGGGATCCAAACCGGGGCCCTGCTGCTCAGAGCTGGCGGTCCCAAGCCAACTCTTAACCAACGCGCCACTCGGTTGGCCCTGCAGTTTTCTTAATCAACCCTACCCCTTATGCTGAAATACATGGTCCCCAAACCTTAGAGAATATAATAAAAATATTAAAGTACCAAAAAAACCCCACACCAAAACAAACAAAAAAAACACACCACAAATGAATGCTTTTACAACCATAGGGTAGTAAAAATCTTTCTAAGCATTAAAAAACCCTAATAAATTTGAATACATAAAAGTTAAAAATCTCATCATGGCAAAATAAAACAAAACAACAAAATATCACAACTAAAGTAAAGGGAAAAAGCAAAATGTAAAAAAATATATTTTTAATACATATGATGAATGAAATGGTAATTTACAGTGAACTCTAAAGAATCAATAAGAAATGATGGAGGATATAAGAGGTAAGTAATAGAAAGAAAGTTATAAATGATCAAAATAGAGAAAAAGATGCTAAACCCCACCAAAACTTAAAAAATAAAAATGAACACACACAAAAATCTTTTTCAGTTATCAAACAGGCAAAACTGGTGAAGACTGCTAATGCACAAGCACAGGATAGGATGGAATCAAGAGGAACCCAACATGCCATTGGAGGGAATGTAAATCACTCTATCTTTTTTAGGAACAAACTACTCAATCTATCAAAATTACCATGTTTAAAGCTAGCAATACATTTCTAAACACTTTTCCTATAGACAGACTCACAAAAGTACACACTTATGTATATAAAAGTTAATCACAGAATTGCTTTTAATAGCAGAAAACTGGAAACACCCTAAATGTTTCCCTGCAGAGGATGAGTTAAGTAAGTAATGGCAGTTCCATATACTGGAATATTATGCAGTGAGGTAAATACTATCAGTGAAAGCTATACTGTTAAAAGAAAATGGCAAGTTAAATGTAAAACCGTATCTTTATGTTTATATCTACATATTTGTATACATAGAGAAGGCTACATTTCAAGCAGGAGTTTTATCTAAAATGAACGGCAAGGATCCTTTTTCAGTTTAAGACATATGCTTCTGTATTATTTGGATTTCTTTTTCTTACAATAAGTTTATATTAATTTAGTAGTATTTAAAGCAACTTGAAAGATAAATGAGACAAAACACAGTGAAAACCTTCCAGAACTTTCCGCCACTGGGGTGTAACAGCCAAACTCTTCAGCATAAAATATGCACACACGCCAGCACGACAAAACGGCCCTGCCTGACCTCCACCTCAGCCCAGTGCCTCTCCTGCACAGCACTCCGGGCGCCCTGCGTCCATTATTAAGGCACACGGCAGTGTTCTGAGCACGCCAGCCAGTGGGCCTCTGTTTAGAGTCCTGGCCTTTCCTGCCTGGCAAATAGCCATTCACTTCACCCCCTCCACAGGCAGAAACAACACTTCCTCTGGGTCCCCACTCTGCCTTATGCACACATCTCTTATAATACTTACCACATTCATTTCCTACTGATGGGTATAGCAATAATAGTTATATTAATAATAGCTAATTAAGTGCCTACCAGGTGAGCGGCACACCAGGTGTCTTACATGTATTATCTCCTTCAGTCCTCACAATGAATCTTTGAAGTAAGTACCACTGTCTCTATTTTACAGGGAAAGAAACTAAGGCACTGGAAGGTTAAGACATTGCTCAAAGTCACATAAGTATTAAGAAAGAGTTCTGGGTTTGAAACACAGATGTATATGGCCACAGTTTTATTTATTTTTATATATATATATATATATATATATATATATATATAAATTTTATTTATTTATATATGATAAAAATTAAATATAAATATTATATATATATGTGTGTGTGTGTGTGTGTGTGTGTGTGTGTGTGTACAAAATCTCTCCATTACGCTGTCAAATTCTTGAGGACAAAAATGGTCTGTGAGTTATTTCTGTATCTCCAACACATAGCACAAAGGAGTATGTGGTAAAAAGCCAATAATTATTGAAGGCTGGCAGTCTCTTAGTATTAAAAGGGGACTTAATTGTCACCACCTAGTTCTACCCACTACACAATGCAGGAATCCCTTCAACTTCCCTCAAGGATTATCTGTTTCCACTTAGGTAGTTCCAATGATGAGGACCACTGTCTTACCAGGCAGTCCATTTCATATCTAAACAGTTCCCCGAAAAACTCCTTCATACATAGAGAAGCTGCCACCCAGTTCACACATGCCACCTCTGCTTTGCCCTCTGGACTATAAATTACCAGCACTGTTCCTTTAAATTAACAGAGTTTTTTGAGGGTGTTTGAGGGTGGCTGCCATGTCTTCATTCTCCTTTCCCTCACCACCTTTCTCCCTCCTCCCTTCTCTTTTCCAAGCAAAATAATCTTATTCCTCAAGTGACAGGGTTTCCATATCCCCTCTTCTTCGTGGCTGCCCTCCTCTGGAGGACTTCAGTCTGTCAATTCCCTCTCAGAAGCAGCCCCTACCAACCAAGCAGCACTGTGCCCAGACAGCTAGAAGTGCTCAACACATATATGGCATGATTTCTGTCCTCAGAACCTCAGGAAAATATAACGTACATTAAACAGACAATCAAGTGTTTACCTTGATTATTTGAAAACTAACCTTTGAAAGTCTCCCGTGTGTCAGGCACACTGCTGAGTACTTCAAAGGTATTATGTGATTGAATTATTAAGTGATTTATTATTATTCCTACTTTATGGATGAGGACATTGTCTCGACAAGGTCAAAAAACTGCCCAAAGTCTCACTGGCCAGTACGTTTCATAGCCGGAATCTGAACTCAAGTCGGCTTGACTTCAAAGCCACGTTCTGAGCTTTGAGAAGGGAGACTTGGACCAAGAGCAGGCAAGGGAAGGCTTAATGGAGAAGCCTTGAAAGGATGGGACTGGATAGAAGAGAGGCAGACTGGACTCCCCCAGAGGAAGGACTATGGAGGGGTGGAAGGCGGCAGGGAAGGGGAAACAGTATATTTCTGGGGAAAAGTCTAATCATTTCCGATTACAACGTTCCTTTAAAATCAGGCAGAGTTGAGGCAGGAAGCAGTAGAAAACTATAGACTGTTGAGTAGGTTAGGAATACACGAAAGCACTTTTTTAGGACAGTTAGTGTGGCAGCCCTGGGAAGCATATACTGCAAGGGGAGAATGATGGCAGAGAACAGTTAGGGGCCGCTGCAATAATCAAAGACCTCATGTTTTGGACCTGACCTAAGATGTAGGATGGTAGCTTCAGGAATGGGGATGAGAAATCACACCACATTGCAAAAGATTCCATTGGTAGCAGTTGGATGTTAGATAAAAGATGAAGAAAGAATGATTCTAAGATTTCTCACCTGGGGGAAGCGCAGAATGCTAGTATTACTGACAGAAATGTGACAGGAAGAGAGGAGGACCAATTTGCAGAGTGAGCAGGAGGTAGGAGAGTGGACGCGTTAAATGATGGTGCACACGAAGAAAGAAGCTACTGCTGATAACAGGGGTCACTTCTGATGCCTGCGGACTGACAGGCCTCGTTCTTTGGGTGACATCCTAAAATCACATCTTCCTTATAGTCATTCTTAACATGTTAACAACATGACACTCAAACCAGGTGTGTAAATGACAAAACTTCTTCAGAAATGTGACGATTCTTTGCTCACCTATCAGAAAGAACTAAGACTTAATTTCAAGGATACCACCTGAAATTAGTCTCACTGTTTTAGAATTGCACTGTGAAAGTTTTACTATGATTCTTTGTCAAACTCCCTATGTTGATGTGTCATCCCCCAAATAAGGTTTTTTCTTAAGTGAGCTTGGTCACTGACGAAAGAAGTTGTCTGGATTTCAGGCTCAACTCTTGAAAAACAAACAAACAAACAAACAAAAACCATTTTCTCCAATCTTCTCTACTCTCAAAAGGCTCTGTCTCATCTGTTTACTTCCTGATTTTGACTCAGTAACATTATTTACCACTTTATGCCCTCAAAGAGTACCTGGTATAACTTTATCGTTTATCCATTTCTTTGTATTCTCATCTAAGAAGAAAAGAGAGACGAGGTCTCCAGTTTGCAGGATGACCCAGAACATATATTCTAAACAGGGGTAGGGCAGAATAAGCTGTTTCTAAGTTTAGCTACGAGATGGGATGATAATAACAAAGCTTTGCCTGACTCACAGGGTGGTTGTAACAACCAAATGACATAATTATGAGTTACTACCCAAACGCATGCAATAAAATTTGGTGCCGTTTGCTACAAGTAGGCAAAAGATCTGGTTCTAAACTTCTTTTCAGAGAAGCACTCAAAATCCCTCCACACCAGGGACAATCGCAGAGGCCCAGTGGCCACTGTGGTTCACTGCACCCCCAGCACAGCAGTGGAGCCTGACCTGCTGTCAGAATTCAGACAGAACTCACCATCTTACTGCATCTTTCAAGCACAGTAGTTGTAAAAGCACGCAAGACAAGGAAATAAGCAAGATAAGTATTCTGCTTTAATTACAAATAAAAGAGAGTATTTTTAGTATAATACATTCAGTACAATACCATTTACAATTCCGCGTAAATAGAATTCAGAAAATTTGATTTCGGGTCCCAATTAAATTGAAGAGAGGAAAAATACTAAGAGACGCTCTGCAGTTTCAAAGTATTCCTTTTGGGGCAGTAAATAAAATTAGCTTTTCGTTTAACTAAAAATAAAGTTTCAAGTCACGATCTAACAATACCAGAAAAACAAAGTACCTGTGAGTTTGATTTTGGACAGTCGAGCCAAAATTCCTGGCAAATCGTCCGCATGCAGCTTCATCTCTTTCCACTGCTTTTCCTCTTTTGTCTCTTTTCCCACATCTATTGAGCCTTCAATTACTGAGGCAGATTCTAGTTCTATCAATTCTTTTTCATTTGGCTTTCTAGACAAAGATAGGCTGGAGGGTGAAAAAGGTTTCATCTCATATATTTCTGCTTTGGCTTGCCCCGAAGATGTTTTTTCGAGGAAAGGAGATACCATGGGTTCTGGCTTCGGCTTTACTTGCTGGTTGAGGCTTCTGTTCAGCTGTGTGGCATACTAAATTTAAAAAGTACATGTTACTATACAAAGCCCAAATGCTCTTAAATGGTTCAGTTACACCTTCCATCAGTCCAACTTTTAGAGTACTTGAAGGTTTAACTTTATAAATACATGGCAAATTAACTAACAGTAGAGTGCTTGTTATATGGAAATCACTAGACTACGAGATACGGAGAATATAATTAATGCCGTGGCAATCCTTTTTCTATGAATCGCAATTCTATGGTTTAGAAAATCCTAGGAATTTAATTTTCCTTGAAAGAAAGATAAATTTATTTCTTATTCATCTCCTTCAGAATTTCCCCTAACATAGTACCAGGAACTGGTGGTTTAACATTCAAATACAATGAAAAAGTTTTCTATAATTAAGAGCAAAATCAACCTGTTCACTTTCTATGTTGCGAGGCAGACAGCGCAGAGAGGGGTTCAGAGACAGTGCGTGATCCAGGGCTAAGTGACATTACAGCAGTGTGCAGAAGAAAAGGATATGGGTTTTAGAGTCAGACAGTCTCCACTGCTTACTAGTGAAAAGTAATTACTACTAGCATTTGTGAGGTACTTTATAGTTGTACACACTGTGTATTGTTATAGTTTATATAATGTATATCTCATTTAAGCTTTTCAACAGTTGTTACAGAGGGTGGACCATTTTTAGTATCTCTCTCTAATTTACAGATGAGGAAATCAAGGCTCTGAAATGAACCAACAGAACCAAGAGTCAACAACCAATTAGTTATAGGTGGCCCCAGGAGTTGGAACTACATATCCTGATAACTAGTTACACGTAAGTAGCTTTTCCATTACACATACTAGTCTTAGAAAGGAATTACCCACTCATGGATGACTCCAGAGTTCTGTTTACATAAAAACGGCATTATACACATTTGAGTTTGTCTTCTAAAAATCCATTATCCTTGAACCCCAACTTAAAAAGTTTGAACATTACTGAAAATTTAACTCTCTTATCAGAATAAGTTTTATAAGATTTTAAGTTAAAGTAGGCATTTTAGTTTAAAAAAGATGAGAGAAATGTCAACTAGGACTTTAGATTATGAATTAGCCATCATTTCATGCTTGTACTATAATTATGAGTTTTTACCTATCATTTCTCAATTCTGTAATACCGTTCTACGTGAGAAAATGGCAAATGAACTCATTGGTAATTCAGAATAAGTGACCATGTTGCTCACAATATCGGAGCCAACCTAGATATGGGCCTAGAAGAGAATGTAGGTTATCAATGCCCACTACAAAACACCTAGCAAATTATAAAAACTCAGTTCGTTTGAGTCTACTCAGAAGTGCATGTGATTAAAAGATTTTTAAATGCACTCCTAATGTAAGAAAACAGGAGGGTCACACTGTTAAAGCAATTATTTCTGTATCACTGATGTATTTATAGAACTTTAAAGAATTTAAAAAGATGTATTATAACAGTTCAGCTTTTCCTAATTTTAGTGTTGTCGAAATATGCCAGAAGTTTTCAATCTTTCTCCAAACTTAATCAATAAGTTCAAGATCATACTTTTAAGCTCAAACACCAGAATTATTCTGGTTTCAGTTAAGAATAATCAAAACAAGGGATTAACGTTTTGAATCAACTTAAGAGGATACTAAATAAAAGTCCTTTTTGAACAGAACTTCTCACAACTCTTCTTGTAATAGGAATTTTTGAAATTCCCTCATCCAGAGAAAGAAAAGACAGATAGCAGCAGAGGAAGGATGGTCTTCTGAACATACCATGCGTTTGAGGAACGTAAAGTGCTGAAATGTAATCCATTGCTTATTGACATTCCTAAAAAGATGCATAAACTTGTGATGGGATTCCCGCATAGCTCTTCTTTCTAGATACCAGACACAGCCTCCTACCCAGCCTAGAAGAGAAAGAAAAACAATGTTAAAATGATTAATGCCTCTCATCAAATGATAACTGCACCTATCCAGAAGTAAAGCCAGCACTGCGATAAGCAGTGCACATGTGATGGGTCAGAACTTTGAAATGATTCAAAACAGGTTTGTAAATAAATGCAGTTTATCAGCCCTACTTACAGTTTAAGTCAGTGTAATACTTTAACAGGGCAAGGGAAAATTTTCATTTCAGGATCATTATGCCTTTATTATATTAAATGCTTAAATGACCATGCTAAAGATATTTTTAAGAAGAAAATATAAAAACAATCAGTTCAGTCACTTTTAAAATAGTATAAAGTGAGTAGCATAATTTTTCTCAATAAATAACTGTAAGCTGGAAGATATATTTCAGATTACTATTTTGGCTATGCCAGGTAAGTCAACTAAAAGGGTGAGGAAACAGTTCTCAACAAAGAATGGCTCTATCAACCTAGTTAGGAAGAAGCTATTTTTGTTGTCTAGGAATTCGGCTTTTAATCATTATTCCAAACCGTCTCTCTAATATCAACAAACCCAGTGCTTCTGTGTAAAGCCTCATCCTAGTCAGGCCTTCAGAGTATAATGGTATAGATTCTCCCTGTCTTTTTCAGAGTCTCTCTTCTCATGGCGTCCATGACACTAAAAGTTTCTGGTTCTCTGCCACCTTCCACCCATCACTTGTCACTTTCCTAAAGGTGTCTCTTCTTGCTGTGTCTGCCACTTTTGGACAGTGTGTTCCCACTGTTCTGAACACTATATAGTATCCCTAAGCAAATGCAATCACAGGGTAATTCTTAATCTTCAACCCATTTTTAGAGTTACTATGCCTATTCCCAGCTGCTCTCTTAGTATCTCCACGTGGATACACTGAAATATGTCCTGAAGAACACTATTCTCACCCATATCTCTACTCAGTTCTCTAGTGCAGATAAAACCAGACCTCAGGAACATCTTGAATTCTTCCTTCATCATTTAATAACCATCAAGTCCAGTCAACTCTGAAAAATAGGTCAAATCTGTTCACTTCTTTCCATTCCTACTGATCCAGACCCTTATTATCTTCTATTTGGACTACAGTAACCATTGAAGGATTCAAGCCAATCATCCCAGCTTCAGTAATTTCCTTCATTCTCCAATTCAAGATCCGTAAAGCCAATGGTTTTCTTCCTGAAGCCCAGAGTACGTATTACTCACGCAAACATGTACATATTACTCACTACAGCGATACTCTCTCATTACTCTCCACTAAGCACACCACACACATCACATTTTGTTCATCTTTGTGTATGTTGTTCCCTTGCTTGCAAGTGTCTTACCTCACCTGTCAAATTTTCAAAGTCTCTTTCAACTACTCTATCACTTTATACTCTTTTTCATGGCACTTCTTAATGCAAATTGTTTCCACCATATTTTTTAGGTCCTTGGTGGCCAAGACTTACTCACTTTTGCTACAAAAGCCAAGGGAATGCTTTCCACATGATAATGAAATAGGAGGGCTGACAATTAAGTTTGTGAACTTGTTGCAATGATGTTGCTAACCTTTTTTGATATCAGAGGGATTATTTATTATGAATTTGTACCAACTGGACAGTTAACCAAGTTTACTATTTGGAAGTGTTGAAAAGGTTGTGTGAAAAAGTTAGATGAAAATGACATGAACTTTTCACCAACAATTCATGGCTCTTGCATCACGACAATGCACCAGCTCACACAGCACTGTCTGTGAGGGAGTTTTTAAATAGTAAACAAATAACTGTATTGGAACACCCTCCCTACTCACCTGATTTGACCCCCAATGACTTCTTTCTTTACCCAAAGATAAAGAAAATATTGAAAGGAAGACATTTTGATGACATTCAGGACATCAAGGTTTAATACAATGACAGCTCTGATGGCCATTCTAGAAAAAGAGTTCCAAAATTGCTTTAAAGGGTGGACTAGATGCTGGCGTTGATGCATAGCTTCCCAAGGAGAGTACTTCGAAGGTGACCATAGTGATATTCAGCAATGAGGGATGTAGCAATTTTTCTAGGATAAGTTTGCGAACTTAATTGTCAGACCTCGTACTGTTTGATGACTGGATCACCCCCACAGCTTAGCTGGACTGTGGGAGGAACAACCACTGCCCCTTGGAATACATGGCAATTATCTTAGACTGGAGATAAGTCACTTCTTCACTGACATCAGTTAATATGCATACATGAAAGAACAGCAGCATTTCTTGAAATTTCTTAAAATCAATCCTCTGATATTCTGGTTTTATTTATATTTTTGATGGTGTATGTTTTCCGTTTTTGGCCTTAACATTGTTCTTTAAGAAACAGGATTCCAGGGCCGGCCGAATGGCATGATGGTTAAGAACTGGCTTGGGACGCCAGAGGGCCCCGGTTCGGATCCCACATATGAGGGCCAGTGACACTGTCCTCCACAGCTAAGACGCTGAACAACAGCTCGACCTGGAGCTGGGCTGCCGTGAGTCGCCGGTGACAGCGTAGGCTGCAGCTCCTGTGGCAGTGGGTTGCCATGGGCTACCGTATGTAGCCAGCAGCCAGCGTGAGCGGCCAGCAGCCAGCGTGAGTGGCCATCCAGAAG